TGAAAAATTATTCTATAAGTGGACAGTGCCCCCAATGATAAACGATCTGGAGGCTGATATGATCCAGTTTCCTTTGGCTTAGAATTATCATTTGTGGTTCTCACTGAAACGATTTTTCATCCTAATACGCAGACACCCCTCTCATTCTTAACATTAATTTCCTAAAATTTTTTTCTAGATTTTTTTTCCAGCAGAACGTTCCCCACACTTTTGTTCTTATTTGATCATCCTGGAGAATTTCGTTCTCATTGAAAACGTTACCGAAAGTTTCGTTCTCATTATGTTCTTCTTGAGAATGTTCCCATGAGTTTTATTCGTATTTTGCTCTTTACAGAAACGTTTCCGAGCCTGTTGTTCTCATTTTGTTTCCATTCAAACTGTACTCAATACTTTTGATCCTGTTTATTTCTTGACATTACATTTTGTATTCACATGCAGAACTAACCACTAACCGGAACGCGTGCTCGGCCCCTGATTGGAAATAATCCTTACAATTTTTGTTGATGATAGGCAGAATATGACATTTTTATAGAATTTTCGATACTTTACTCTCAAATAAGTAAGTGGCTTTTATCTGCGCCTTAAATTTGTGCAGACAAATTTTATAAGCCAATTTAGAAAACGGCCCTTAATGATTTGACTATGTCGCCGCCATGTATTTATTTTGGCTTTACCTTGTGTTTACAACTTTTTTAGGGGGTCTTTAACTCCAAAACCCACCTTGAGTGCGCCCATTATTTATTTATATGTTTCTTTTATTGCTCAGTACTATTCAGTCCGCTGGTGTTATTCTGCTCGCACCTTACCTCCATACTTGAACATTTTTGTTTTTGTAATGTCTTCTTGTAGAATTAATGCAGTTATGTTAACATTGTTGAAATATTTTTTTTTTTTTAAATAGATACATAAGTAGAAACTATTTTAAGTTTATTATTTATTTCTGCTTGATGATGTATTGTGCGTTTACTTAAAACTACTTTATTGACTGTTGATTTTAATTATGAGCCTATTTACATTCATACAATCTTTTGTATTTTTATATACACAAAAAAGTAATTAAAAAATAATAATTTTTAGACCAGCTTTTATTAGAGGTAAAAAATCGACCCCCGCACCACTTAAAGGCAAAATTTTTTTTTGATTTATTTCTTTACACTTAAGTAATATACATACTTTAAATAGGATTCAAATCGAACCACAAATACAGTTTTTCCAAATACATCGACTCCTGCGCCACCTATCGGACAAATTTTTTTGTGGTGTTATTTATTTGATGTAAGTAATATATGTATGTACATTCCAAATATGAACCATATCCGACTTTAAATAGAGGGTTTTTAAATAGTGCGACATCTGCGCCACCTAGCGGATTCATTCACCTTTCATATTGCATTATAAACACATCTAGCATACCAACCGTACTAGGTGGGGGAAAATCCAAAAATGCAGATTTGATATATCCTTGACGGAATATTTTTTAAATATCATTTATTTTAAATCTTGTTTTAAAACTTTATCTTTAATTTGCCATCAATACTTTTCTAATCGGTGAAATCGTTTCCCAGATAAAAAATAGAAAGCTTGAACTCAGTTCAAAAAGTGTAATCGATCTACGTTTTTGGTTTTTCCATAGCTAAACGGTTGGTGTTCTAGATGCATGCCTAACCGGATTCTGAGCTAATTTTGAAGTTTCAAGTCTCTGGCTCATCGCGAAGCTGGTTAAAAATTGGTTGCAAGATTTGTTTACACACAGGTAAAGCTTAACAAAAAGCTTGCAATATACCACTTGTTCGTGCCGATTCCGCTTTCTTATTGTATAGCTTTTTTTTAGATTTCAGTAAATCAGTAATACTTATTTACATTATTGCCTGTAATTAATTACATATTTTATGCTTATAATTACATATTCATTCATTTATATGCAATCCATTGTTAGCATTGTGAAAACGTGTTTTGAATTTAAGATTAATGGTTTTTAGCATTGCTTTGTTGTTGTTTTCAATTCAGTACAGGGTGACTTGTTCGTTGCATTAGTTTTGCTAATAGAAAAAAGATTTCTTTTTATAGAAAAAAAACCAAAGCAAAAACAATATCGTAGTCGAAATAATTCCAAAAGAAGTATAGTCCAAAAATGATGATAAATACGAAATCAAACAAAGATTTAGAGGAGTTTATTGAAGAGTTTTGTGCGCTATTTGAACGAGAAGTTGAAAAAAAAACTGTACTACAACCAGCGAGGAGGAGTCGATTACGCTTCTCTTCATGCCGCATTCGTTAATAATCCAGCATCGTGAGAGCTTTAGGGTGACACCCGGCATTGAGTGACCTCTTGGATAGCCAAGGTCTCGTCCAGGGTATAAGAGCAGTCATGTCTTTACTAACTATTTACTTCCTGGGCTTTGAGTATGTTCAGCGCGGCTTAAATATATGTAGAATACCAGTTTTTCTTTTTGGCGCGTTGATACTCTCAACATTCAATATCAAATGTGACAAAATTTTTTAGAAATCAGTGGACTCACTAAATTGCCATTGAGGTAACTGGCAAACATTTTTCTGAGTTACTCATGCCTAGCTATTTGGATGGTGGTGGGGTAAAACCACGATGTAGAGGGACAGAGGAACCCGCACGAATGCGTAATATTGTATTCTATAATACTAGGGGTTGGTTGCAGGAGAATGAAAATTCTGAGGACTTAGTTTGGATGGCTTTGTTGCCTTAAATGAGCCACTTTCCAGATTTCTTTCGAAGAAAAGTTATTTTTATGTAAGTCGATTTCCGGTTGTGGTGCGGCGGAGCAGACTGTCAATAAATAGGGTGTGAAATCTGCTTAGACTTACCATCACGTAATGCCTTTATACTTGGGGTGGACTTAAAAGAAATGCATGCGTATTACTGAGTGAGACGAGGCGAAGATTGCTGGTGGCAGCGAGCTAGGCACAAGTGCCTTTTCAATGCCCCATAATAGAACGTCCGCATTAGTTCTGAAGAGATAGTTCAACGCTCAATTCCCTGAGCTGAAATGCCGATTTTAATCCAGCACTGGACAAGTGATTACACTTTGTTAAATCTTAACCTATGGCTTTGAAAATGACTCTCGATCAGGATCTGGAGTTTATATCTAATGGTGATTTCGTTGCTCAATGCGTTTGATATTACATACACTCAACCCTGTAAGAAAGCATGTTTTTGCCTTCTTGTCCTTGTCTAGCTCAGGCATTTCGTAATGTTGTTGTTTTAAACAACAATCTCATTTTATTGGCAACCATCTTCTCTGACAAAGCTTCACAGGGCAGAATATGAGACTTTTCTGCATTACACGAGTGTGACATTTTAAGAAACGAACACACAATTTTCTCACCTTTTACCTTTAATTTAGAATCGAACACGAAAAGTGAAAGGGGCAATCAAAAGGCGACATTTTTTTTTGGCAGAAACGAAATCACCATAAGGGTGATCCATTTAACAGCTCGATACTAGATATCATTTCATATAATATGCGGTATTATACAGAGCTTGAACTTCTAATGAACTATGAGACCATTGTTTGCCATCAGGTACACTTACATAGAAGAGGTGACTCCACAATCGCTGGCTGGATGCGGTGAAAGCTGATCAATGGAAGATGAGTATCCGAAACTATAAGGAAAGTATTAGAGAACGGAATCGCCGGAGTCTCTTTTTTGGAAGGCGATTCATGGTAGCGTCCAGTGATGGATACTCAGCTAAATTTGGAGCAATCTGGAGCCCTGAGTGCTCAAACAAAAACCCTGTGAACCGTGTGGTTTATGTGGAACAAACATCCTATATGACGAAAACTCGGTCAGACCGAGAGCCTTAGTTGCATGTAGTATCTTCTCACTTCACTGCGGCCAAATTTGCACAGATCCTCTGACAGGACTAGAAAACAGCGAGGTTGGGCTTCAAGGGCAACAATTGTTCCAGTGATAATGCCCAGCAAGAAATCTGGGGCAGCAGTTAATGCTTCGCGAAGAGAATCCGGCTGTGCGAGATTATTCTGTCCAGGTTGCTGGGTATTTATATTGTTTGCGGGTACCAAGCCAACATTTTTTACGCCCAGATGATAGGAAGGGATTGATCTTATCTAACTCTTGGCTAGGGTGGCCAGTCCTTACCACATGTACATCGAGTTTCTACTTGGCGACTTGCAAAAGAATGAACGCGCCGTGTTTTCGGGAGGAGCTTGGAAATGGGACCACGGCGCCACCTCGGATGCGATCCACTCAGACCATTTATGAGGCGGTGGTTAATTAAACCGTGACAGTTTAGATAAGGCTCAGCCGTACGTATGTTATCTGCTGGAATAAGGAGCTTCAGAAATTGAGCGGTGAGTCGAGAAAACTTCTCAACCGGGCCCTCAAAACTAACTTTGAGATGGACTGGAAGCGTTATCGGTGCATGCAATTTTCTCTGCGAAAATGGCCTATTTTAAAGAACACTACAGCGGCTACTGTGCTAAACAGCTAGGCTGGTAAAAGTTCCGAAGAAGGACCAAACCATAAAACTGGGTTCGCTCAAGAGGCCTGCTGACTCTTTCACGGATACTAGAATTTCGGCTGTCTCTGTTCTTCTAAATACTCACTTTCCTGGAATTTAAATGATGATTACGCTTGGCTCTTCTTCGACAGGAAAGCGAGCGAGCTTTTGATAAAGAATGTCACAGCGTCGCTTTCACTTGCCTACATACCACAATCTTGGAGGCTCTGAACCCGAGATTGGTAAGGATGACTACACTAGCTCCATAAGCTTCAGGCCTATTAGCATAACATCCTTCACGCTAAAATTTCTAGAATGGTTGGTAGACTTGCGTATTCGTAAAGAGACGCTCTCAACACATGTTCTGTCTTTGCTTCAACATCCATATCAGGAATGGGATGACTTTGAAAAATCGGTTTTCTCGCATGCGGATGTCATTACTAAATTTTTTACTATTGAAAGAGCGTTTAAATAATTTGCGGTGAAATTAATTCTATTTTTTTTGTTAGGTGCTTAATATTTACTTATTTTTAAATACTACTTCCTTAACATTCTTTCTATTTCTAATGTAAAACTGAACTACTTTTTACACTACTATTGTATATATAAGTATTTAGTACAGTATGTACCTGCTAGTTGACTCGCGCTTGCATGATTTTCCCTCTTTGTAAACCAATAACTCATTAAAAAAATTTAACTTCCTTTCGACGGAACCCTGTAAATTGGGTTCCCCGTTAAACTTAGAAGAGTGTGAAATTTATCATGCCCAATTAGCCGGAGGCTACTGTACTAATTACCTTAATTAAAACAAATCAAACCTTATGCATTGGCATAGCACGCAAATCAGCTCAGATATTTTACAAATTATTCGAAAGTTATCTACTCTATTCTTGGCTCATCATCTTTGAGCCACTCTCTTCACGCTCATGTCTCCTCGTCTCTTAATTATTCGCTCTTCGTGATGATGCTACTAGCAATTGTTGCTGCACCTCCACCATTCGCGCACTTTGGCGGCGTATCTTGGCGATGGTTGGTGGGCGTGTTCGTCGGCGTTATGGGTGGCGATAGTTGATTTTGTTGTTGCTGCTGCTGTTGTTGATGTAGATGCAACACAGCTTGTGACATTTGATGTTGCTGCTGCTGCTGTTGTTGTTGCTGTTGCTGTTGCTGTTGGTGCTGCTGCTGCTGATGATGATGATGATGATATGCAGCGCTCTGCGCATCGAGCAGCGTCAAACTGGCGATGCTGTGGTGATGATTACTTGCCGCTGCCGCAGCTGCTAGGCCATTTATGGTGCTTGCGGTCATATCCTGTGCCAATTCACTTTTCAGACGCACGCCATTGTTGTTGTTGTTGTTATTATGGTGATTGTTGTTATTGTTGGCGGCAGCTGCTGCAGCAGCAGCAGCGTGGGCATTACTCAACGCCGCAGCAGAATGATGATGAAATGAGAGCGGCGGCAAATGCAGCCCAGGAAAGGCGAGCCCAGCTGCAGCAGCGGCATGCAATGATTGCAGCAATGCGGCCGAATGTTCTTGCGCCTTGCGACGCAGTTCGGCTACCGAGCTGGAGCGTGCATCGTGATTGTTATGCGTTGCCGACTGACTACCACCAATCGAAGAGATAGAGTTCGGTGGCGAATCAGGCGAACTGCTGGCGGAGGGAGCGGCAGATGTTATGGGCACGTTGGCGGCGCTGACGGAGACGGAGGAGGAGGACGAGCAGGCGGATGAGGCGGCAGCAGCAGCTGCGGCGGCTGCAGCGGCGGCGGCCACCGAAGAGGCGCTGGGTGGTGGCGGTGGTGGTTTGAGGGAGCAGCACGAGCAGAGACCCGGAAATGGAGAGACACCTGGAAAGAGAGTAGGACGGGGATGAATGCGGTGAATAAAATTAATTTTAAGTTATCTTTATATGTACATATACATATGTAGCCGGCTTTCTTATTTCAAACTTTAATTCTATTAAAATATATTAGTCTGTCTTTGCCGCAGCCATCAATAAATCGACAGCCGGCCTATGGTGTTACGAGTATGGAATGTCTCGGCTTGTCATTAAGCTTGACGAGCTGTTGATGTACAGCGTCACAGATTGAAATCCAGACTTTGGCACAATGAGGGCGATGGGGTATCACCAGCCACTCTACCCATAATTGGTTAACTACAAATACATTATTTTACATCAATAATCGATAAGTTAGATCACAACCGTCGTTCACCAACAAGATTTATGTACTCGTACTTATTGACTACCAACTTTTACTCAACGCGAGCAACAGTGACGTACTCTGCTTTGTGGTATGGGTAAGTAAGTAAATATTTCATGCAACAAAAATACTTTTTTACGCTCTTCTTCTTCTTCTTCTTCTTATGTACAATATTTAATCGCATTTACCTTTTAGCCCGGGAAAGAGTGGTTGATGCGTAAACTGTGAGCTGAGCGAGGCCAAATGTGGTGGCAGAAAGAGTGGTGGATGTGCAGTGGTGCGTTGTGTGCCCGCACCAGAAGCGACCACGCTGGCAGTGCTGTCGTTGAGTACGGGACGAAAGCCGCAATTGCTGAAATGAACAAAAAAACAGCATTGAGGGTGCATTTGTGAAAGATAAAAAATATGAGAT